ATTGATTAATCAAGCTTTTATTAGAAGTGGTATGCAGGGAGGTAGATTTTTGTTCTTTAAAATAAGTATGAGAGATTTTGTCAAACTACTTTACAGGAAAGGAAGTGGTTGGCTACACATGATTTAAAGTTCCCTGTATGTTTTAGGGTTTGGTGGGGTGTTTTTTATTTTCCCGGAAGACCCGTGACTACATTTTGTAATTACAAGAGTGGGATTTGAAATCAGTAACCATTCTCTTGAAGTTTGAGTGAAATTTTCTTTAGGAAACAAAAGCAAAACATGAGGTAGAAACCTAGAATAGGGTTTTACATTTATTTTTAGAATAGGTACAGTTTTACAGCTGCCTCTTTAAAGATTATTCCAAACTTCTCTGGCAGTAAAGCATAGGAATTCCAGCTGAGATGCACAATGTGTCTTAGAAGCAGCTGTAAGTAGTATTTGGGGTGGAACGACTGTTTCTGATCACATTTACAGTCCAGCTTCTTTCCATTCTTGCTGGGAACCTGTGAGTCAGGCAATCTCCTACCACCCTCCAGTGGTTTTCAGAGCACAGTGCAAGCCACATGTTCGGAAAGCTTATTCAGAAAATAAAAAGGGGGCTGGGAATATTCCAAGCTTTCTGCTGGGGACACATTTGGATTTTTGTTACACTTTGGATTTATTTGGTGACTTGCTTAAAAGATCTTTTGGTTCCAGTTAGATGCTACAAAGTGTTCTAGCACACCTGTGAAGCTTTATGATACTCATGCGGTTGCTTGCAGGACATTAAACCATCTGCATTTGTGATGATTTCCAGTCTGTGTTTGTATTGCTCCAGGATTACAGAATCCGTGGGTGTGACAATTGGATGGACAACGGTGAAGGGGTGTTTTGTAGGAGGCTGGGCAAAAACTACAGCTTTTTCTATGAACTTAGTGACTAAATAATTTGCAAGTCATTATAAATGTCTCCTCTGGCTGTTACCATTTATTTCTGTCATTATAGTATCTAAAGCACCTTAGGAGCATTAAGATCTAAATTCTCAAAGAAAATTGCATCTGTGTACTTAATTTTGTGCTGTTTTCTATTCTTGGTAGCATCTGATATTCTATCCATGGCATGTCACAGTGTCATCAACCCGATTGCTGTATTTTCTTGGAGATCACTGATGAAGAAAATAAAACATGACACAATTTATTTTTATCTTTCTATTATGAATGTGGAAAGCCATGAAAACTGCAGGAGCTTCAAAACACAGCAGGGATGAATTTATCAGAGGTTAAGGAGGCATTAACACACTGTGTGACATGAAAGGCAGCGCCTGCCAAAATTCCCCACACGACTTTAGGCTGTATCAAGTCCTGGACTACAAAGTAAAAGGGGCTGATGCTTTCATTGTTCATTACATTGTTGTCTCATCCTTTGTTGGGGATTTTCAAGCAATTTTTATTTCACATAACTGTGCTTTTGTCCAAGCAAGTCCGTGCTAAAACTGCTAATTTTTTGATACAAGCCTATTGCAAAAATCCTAAAATAGGGAATTGCACTTTTCTGCTGCAGGATGACATAAATTGCTGGCTCATCTACTAACATCACTCATGTAGTAGAGCATGATTCATCGATTCACAAAGTACTCTCTGTTCAGCCAATCTAAAGTACATGAGTAGGATGGGGAAGTTACATCAGCTACCACTGGGATCACCAGAAGTACAGCACAAAGTTTAATTGGTTTTTTTCTTCTGAGTTCAGCTCATCATCACCATAGTTGAGAGAATTATGACTGAAGCAAGGGCAGGGCAAAACAAAAGAGCAGCTTTGAAGCACGCTAAGAGCTGTAAAATGCTCCCAGGTATCTGTCCATGACAGATGGAGTCTCTCCTTGGTCCTTATTCCTTTCCTGTATCCCAAACTGGGAGTACGAGATATTCTGCAATCTCCCAGTCCCATAATGACCTGTGCCCTGGTGACCTCTCCCAGTGTCTTGGCAGTCACCTTCTGTCTGCTGTGGTAATGAGTATGTGGATAGAATAGACAGACAGGCAGGGCAGGCAAGGCAGGCTCTTGTGGGAGAAGAAGAGGGGCCAGCTGGAGGAAGAAGCAGAGTCCAGTAGGCCTTGGCTTGCCTTCTGGCTGGATTTGATCATGGGATGTTAGCAAAAAGGCCTGCTTCGGCCAATTTCTGCTGGCTTCCTGTCCTGAGATACCTTTCTTGTAAATCTCAGCAGAACTCGGTGAGCTGGTGTTGTAGTGTGTTTTTGAACCTTTATTTACCTATCCTGCCTGTTGGTTGGCTGATTTTGTTGGTGGTTTGATTTTTTTCCACCTACCAATGTTTACATTTAGACTAATGGGACCAGCATTTGTCTTTGCCTGGGCATTAAGATCTACACGAAGGCTTTTGAGTATGTTAGAGAGCAAAATGGCTATAAAGAGACTGCACATATATATGACTATGAAAATTTTGAGAGTCTTCTCTCCAACAGACCAAATGGTGTAGCATCAAAGTTGAGATAACAGACAAAATCTATTTAAGAACACATCTTTGTTCATTATTCTGTGTTATCTCTCACAAAGCATCCACAGGTAAGTGAAGGGTTAAGGTAAAATTCTTTCTTCCACCTGGACAAAGACAAGGTTTCTTTCTTTGGAAAGAAAGTCTGTTAGAAGACTTGAATTGAATTTTCACTGCAAAAAACCGAAAATCTCCAGGTCAAAGGCTGTGTAACCTGGTGACTGTAGTGGTATAAGACTGATAATGCCACATACTGTCTGGTCTGACCACTGAATATTACCTGCATGATCTATAATGAATATAAAGTTTGGGGGTTATTACTTAAAAGAAAACCAAAACAAACCTTTTTATAACTCCCATTTTTCCAGACTGCCATACAAAACCCAGCAAGCTTAGTTTTCACTCAAAAGTAGATGTATCAGAAACTGAAATGAGGTCTCAGCTAATAAATAAGCCAATGGCTCTGACTTTTTGTATATTACTCAGGAAATATTTACATTTTTCTAAACAGCTATTTATGCTTTGTGTTCATGAAGCGTGGGAGAAGTGATTCTTGAAAGACCTCACCAGGACTGCTGCATCCAGCTCTGGGGTGCCCACTGAGGTCATGTTGGAGAGAGTCCACAAGAGGCCACAAAAAATGATCAGAGGGCTGGGGCACCTCTCCTATGAGGAAAAGCTGACAAGTGGGGTCGTTCAGCCTGGAGAAAAGGCTTCAAGACCTTATTGTGGCCTTCCAGTACCTAAATGGGGCCTGTAAGAAAGATAAAGCAAACTTTTTTAGCAGGGCTTGTTACAGTGGTACAAGGAGTAAGGATTTTAAACAAAACAAAAAAAAGAAAAGAAAAAAAAAAGAGTGTATCTAGACTACATTTAGAAGAAACTTCTTATTATGAGAATGGTGAAAAAGTGGAACAGGTTGTCCAGGGAAGTAGTAGGTGCCCCATCCTGGGAAACATTATGGTCAAGTTGGATGGGGCTCTGAGCAGGCTGGTCTAATTGCAGATGTGCCTGCTCATTGCAGGGGGGCTGGACTGGATGACTCTTAAGGTCCCTTCCAAGCCAAAGTATTCTGTGATTCATGGAATTTTGACAAGGGCTAGAAAATGTTCTAGAGATTGTGTTTTGAGGCAACAGCCCTGAAACATGCAAGATTTAGCTGCCATTAAAACTGGTGTTTCTTTGGCCTGGTATGTCCTGCTCTACAAGCAGGAAGAAGTATTTCTGAGAGTTATTCCCCTTGGTGGCATGACACTGACCCTCCTCAGGTTTTACTGCAGCTGTGCTCCTTCAAAACATAACGTGACTGCAAAGAATGTTCAGAGTAGAATGGCTATGTTGGTTTAGGTTAAAGGCTAAACATCTAGCTTGGATGGCATCTCCAGCCCTAGCCTTAAGGAATTTAGAAAAATTTTTTACTGCCCGGAAACAAAATGTTAAAAAATCCCAAACAGTGAAAACAGCTAATAAAACCAAAACAATCCAAAAACCAAACAAGGAAAACCAAGACAAACTCCCAGCTTGGCAGTAAATGAGCAGCATGGCAGTGCTCTGCAGAGGCTGTGGCTGCTGTCCTGGCTGTAGCAGGTGGCAGCAGTGCTGTGTCACCGAGCTGAGTGCAGCTCAGTCCAGTGTTCACAGAGCCACAGGGAGGTGGCACTCGAATCTCATGCTTTGTACTGCTTTCCTTCCTCAGATGCCAGTACTGGCTCCAAGATTATCCATCAGAATTGAGGCGTTTTCCTTTTAAGTGCTCTGTTCTTTCATCTGTTTTCAAAAGCAAATGTTTTAGGAGAGAAGGGTTTTGTTTTGAACAAGTGCTGGGAAAAACCCCCATGTCACAAGTGAGATTAAAAAAAATCACCTCAAGAGCTGCATTGTTCAGTTGCAGAAAATAGCCTATTTCATCTTAAAATAGCCTTAACTTAAGCCAGGATTTAGCACCATAATTCACAAACACGTGCCTGGAAGATCCTCCTTGCGTTACTGAGGCTATTTGACTGCTATCATATGATCATTTCCATGTAATCATCTTTTTGAGTTTATTGAATTTAATCCTCAATGCAGTTGCATTTCCTGTGCTTTTATTTTATGGGAAGACTGTTCCATAGCTGTATTCCTATAATTTTAATACATATTGCAAACAGATGTTTAGGCTTTTTCTTCTCACCACCAGAAATGCAAATTTAAAGTAAATGTTAATCTTTTTATCTGTCTGTTAACATCTTATGGCTGTACTGTAATGAAATTACTTAGGCTATCATTCACAAGCAGACAGAAACAGAACAGTATTCTTCATTCCTCTGAATCTGTGAAAATGAGATAATTTTGAATTTAACAGGGACAACGGACACACTCCTGTAATGCATATTACCAAAACTAAAGGATTTGTTAATTTTATTACTGCTTGTGGTTTTGGTAGAAGGAGCCACAATGGGCCTAATCAGTTTAATGTAAAATTTTACCAGTCAGATTTTTTAATTACTTTTTTTTTTTTTTTTAATTTCAGTGGGAGAAATTACAGATGACAACAAGTGAGAGGAGAAAAATTGTTTGTTCAGTCACATTCCATATAATTGCAATTACCTGCGTTGTTTGGTCATTGTATGTTTTAATTGACAGAACGGCTGAAGAAATTAAACAAGGCAATGATAACGGTAAGTATCTTTTACCTTCTTCAGTGCTGCTGGTAATGCAGGGCCTGGCTTTGAAAGGCAGCTCTGTAACCAGTCACATTCTGTTCTTAAATAACAGCTCACATGCCTACACCAGAGGCTTTAATGCAGAACTTCTGAATGCGTCAATCTTACCTTATGCCCCAACAGAGAGAACTCTGCTTTGTGTAATCATTACAGCAGCTTAACTGGCCTGCTGGTTCTTTCTGGGTTAATCTCCCATTATCTAGATAATTCTAAAGCTCAGGCAAAAAGATGAGTCAAGTTCAAACAGCTCAGTGCAAGTTCAGGTCCTTAAATAGCAATTTATTTATATTAATCACTTGAATTTTGATAGGACGTAAAGTACAGTAGAGCCTCTTAATTTACCGCCTTCCTAATACAAACTTCCAAGAGACTGTTTTCCATTTGTTTGAGTCCTTCATGTTGGACTTGATAGCATGGAAAGCCATTCCTGTGTCCTTTCAAATAGAATTTCACTGTGAATGTCCATGTTCCAGCTGTATTTATTGGTTACGTGCTGGAACAGAGAAGTCATGAGACTCTATCTGCAGAGATACTGAAAATCCAACTGGACACGTGTAAAAAAATGCATGCTTAATGTCAGTAAGAGCCATACTTAGCATATGTGGAAAATATATCCTAAATTTAACTACTGTTTTCCATTTCAAATCTAAGTTTATTTGATCTTAAATTCAGTCTTAAATGTGACGATAAAAAGCTTTTGAGTTTTGATCTGAATTGAATTTAAGCACCCTAGAGGAACAAAGGTCTCTAGCTTTGTGTTATATTCCAAAGTTAACATGGAAAACAAAACAGGTGAAGCTTTGTGCCTTGCTAGTTAGATAAATATTTGATGATACTCCTGATGCTTGCCTTTCTTGCCTTAGAGAGGAAAATAAGCAACAAACCTCAGAAAGTCACAGATGAATACACACTACAAAGTCTTGTTTTGAATTCTTTTGAAATGGGTAACCTTGTTTTTTATCTCAAAAAACCTGGCCCAGAGGACAGGACTAGGGATGGCTTTGAATTTCTGTTTATGAGTACAACTACATCATCCTACTCATTACAAAGGGGAAGCTATTTCTGTAGATTAGCTGAATTTCCATAACAAAACAGCTAACAGGCAGTTTTGTTGTTACACACAATGCATAAGAATCATGTTAATTATTCCTGGTAGGCTCAAAAAGTATTTATGATTTGTGTAGCATTCAGTATTTGCCAATATAGTGGTTGATTCTTTACACTGAAAAATGGACAAAGAGATGCCCTGGAGCTACTTACAACATGCAGAAGTAAGTGTGAAGAGGACACTTTTGGTCCAAAATTTGTTTGTTGCAGGGGAAAGTACTGTTACAAAAGCAAACATGTATTTGTGGAGAATAAGAGGGACATACATGTAGTTTGCTTTATTCCCCATTTTTTCTCTTTAAATGGGAATTGCCAAGGCAAAGACAAGTAAGCACTGGAGAAAAAACACTTTATAAACATATTTGGAGAAGGAGAAAAATTGAAACCCTGAATAATAGTAGTATTGTTTGTTAATATTCTACTTTAAAAATCACATTTTAAATGGCTACTCAAATTATTTAAGGGGTTGGGGTTATTTTTCTCTTTAGGGAAGTATATGATGCAAACCCTTTAATTGCTAAACCTGACACTGCTGTACAGAAAAGTGGATTTAAAGTATATTTAAAATATTCTAGAATTTATATGGCACCAGCAGAAAGGAATCAAGTTTAATGTATATTTATTCTGCTTGAAGAAAGAGGTCTAGGTTCAGCTGACTTTTCTCCTAAGAAAGCTCAAGTCTGAAAACATGGCAATCCTGGAAAAAAATGAAAGATACAAAACTCTCTGTCCCATACCAGTTAATAAAAAAAGGTGTTACCACAGAAGCAGCAGCAGCCTATCTTTAATGGTAAAAGGTGAAAGAAATCCTGAAAGAAAGATTTTGAGAGTGGCATTGATTTTTTGGTTGATTTATTTGACCAAATGGTGGTCAAATCAGTTAAAAGTAGGAAGCAGTTTCGTGTTCCATGGGCAGTTTCTTGGCCAGCCTATGGAATAGGAAACCCCATCTATTTTCTAGAGCCACAACTGCCCCAATAGCGTGCACATACCCGGGCATTCTTAGCCAGTGGCTTATTTTCTTAGACATTACTGAAACAGTGCTTGATATTCAATTTATAACATAAACTTTCTATTTCAAAGGTGTCCTTGAATGGCCATTTTGGACAAAACTCGTTGTGGTGGCCATTGGATTCACAGGAGGCCTGGTCTTCATGTATGTGCAGTGTAAGGTTTACGTCCAGCTGTGGCGCAGGTTGAAAGCCTACAACAGAGTGATCTTTGTTCAGAACTGCCCAGACACCATCAAAAAACTGGAGGAGAAAAGCTCTCCGTGCACTCAGCCCTCGGAGGTGAAGGACGCGGTGGTGGTGCCAGTAGCACACACAGGTACAAACTCTCAGCCGGCGGCGGAAGAGGCGATGTCGGAGGTCATGCCAGTTTGACACGGACAGCATTGCTTCTTCCTTGCAGAGTAAGCTGTAGTGTCTGCTACACTACAAATGCTACAAGAAAGTAGAAATGACTGTGCATTTTTTCGGTTAAAGAAGACCCCAACCAAACAAGAAAAATACCCCATACAAAAACCAAAACCGTACAAGGAAAATGGATCCAGCAAAGCAACTTGTTAATGTATGGAATGTGCCCGTTCGTGACGTAGTTCTGCAACTAGTCAGCAAGTGTAGTGAAAGTGGAAGTGTAGAAAGTGCAATAGAGAACAGGTTTAACAGACAATGCCAAACCTATGTAACAATGTACTTTTTTTTTTTTTTTTCCCCTAACTGGGCTGGCTGGGAAAGTAGAAAACAGAAGTGATACAATGATTTTGTTTACAGAAGACACAAAACCTTTCATCTGTTTACTACTAAAAGTTGTATTTGCTATTTACCTTTTCAAAGATACACTTCAAAGGGTACCAATCCAAATAATATGCATTAACAGAATCGAAGTACAGAGAGATGTATTGCAGCACTCCCTCTCTTAGCCTCGTACGGCAACACCTTCATGTGACTGTAGTGGAGCCTGAATGTTTGGGCAGCTGTGTCAACTATGGATATTTGAACCAGTTGTTTTAACTATGGCTGGATTTTTGAAAATTAAGCAGTTCCAACCAATATAAACTCACATCTCCATAAGCTGCAGACAGTTTTTTTTAAATGTCAGGGAAGTACAGGAAGAATATGGAGATATGCATTTAGAAGAGCAGCTCCGTTGTTTATTTTACTTCATAGGAATGAATTAGGCATCAATTGGATACACAAAGTATTGAGGCAAAATTGTAAATTAAAAAAAAAGCAGTTTACTGCAGAATTACACAGAAGTAAATTGTCTGTTGTCAAAGGTCTGAAAAAGGATGAAGATGGAAGCTACTTTTGGTTTTATTTTTTAAGATTCATGATACAGAAAGGTAGATATAAGAGAACATACCTACCTATATATCTTAAGAAAACATTAGTTTTTATCTCCTTGCTCTAAAAAGCTAGTTTTTATCTTCCTGACTGAAAAAAACAGATCAATGGTTTCCTTCTGTACAGGTAAACTTAAGGTGTTAGAGATTGAACAGTTCAGTTGTTAATTTCGTGTTTTGAGCACTGGCATATAAAAATGAAGTGTGAATAGCATTAAAAGGTGCAATAGATAAATGAATGTAGATATAATCCTGTGTCCAACAGGGTGAATTATGTATAAGGAACCAATTTTGTGATTCACTTTGCAAAACTGTGGTGTTTACTATAAGGACACAAGAGCAAGTATTGATTCAGAGTAGCTTTGTACTGGTGTGCACAAGTCTGGGGCCTGAACATGTGTATTTTAAAAAGAAGTTGAAAGTTCTTTTTTTAATCTTGTATTTAGTAAAGGAGGAAAAGCAAATGAAGAACCAGAGTAATGAGGACAGGAGAGTAGAGATTCACTTACAGGTGGGGTATCTGCCACAATTACAAGTGAACTAGAGTTCTACAGAAGCCTTGAAGTTTCTACTCATAAATTTTCTCTTTGTACACTCAAGTATTTACAGTGAAATAACAGACTCATCCCATTCTTGCAAATACCCAGGCTTTAGGGCCTAAGATGTATTGGAATTTATATACTAGGTATTCCTTTGTGAATGTTTACTGGCTTAAGGCTCAGGGAATACTAGAAGTAGCAGTGTTAGCAAGAAATATGTCTTTAATCAGACCATTACATTCTTTTGTATTGGAATTGCTCTTGTAATTTGGCTGTGACTAAGTGATGGTTATCTGGCTAGACAGGACACAAAACCTTGGTGCTTGAATGGGTCCTTAATACATGTTAATATTTGCTGTCAGTTACTCCAGGTGAGTTGGATTAATGTTTGAAGTTTTTTCATGTAATGGCACACACTTTTTATATAAAATAATTTCCCAACTACACAACTGCAACTTCCAATTGTAGCAGCTTCTTATTTGAAATGACATACAAGAAAAACCAAATCATTTCTCCATTTAAAATTGTGGAGGAGATTTCAGAAGGTCTTCAGAGCATGATGACACAATTAAGGAATGTCTAGCAACTGCACATGCTTAAGAGAGTCTGCAATGGCATGGTTTTCAAAAAGCTACTCATTAAAAGGTAACTCATGATATCTGACATCAGACACTTAAAATTACTAACTGAATGTTTGGAAGGATGTTTACAGTAAACCTCGGCAAAATTCACTGACAACATTATTATGAAAGATAATTAAGAGCTTTCTGAACTAATAGTTTCTTACTAAGTGAAAGTAACCCTGCTGCTCTAGCCAGCTTGTTCTTTGACTACAGTAGCATCATGAACCCATTGGAAGTACCCTATCCCCTATTTTGTCAGTTTACTGGAGAGTAATTCGCACTGGGGTTTTTTTCTTGAACAAATATAAAATTCACCTAAAATACCTGAAGATTCTGAAAGCAGAACTGTAGCATCCAACAAGATTTTACATTTTTTAAAAATACACTGAAGAGTCAGCAACAGAAAAGACAATATGAAAACTTTTATACCAATGCCTTCAACTTCAAACACTGTTCTGGCACTCAACCATATATGCAACTGAGTTTACAGTTAATTAAATAAAAGAAAGCAGAAAGACTTCAGTTGAAATTCCTCCTCTCCCTTGGAAATACTGAATGTGGACAGCAGGAAAAGGAGTAAAATGGGACACTGTCTGCTGAGATGGACAATGAGACAAGTCACCAGCACAAGAGATTTCAGCTGGCTTGAAGCAGCCTTTAACCTTTTAAAGCATTACAGTGTTAGCCTGTGCATCCCTTTCTCTTCTTAGATGGACTGGATTTTCTAGAGCTTTCAAGAATTACGTGCAGGATTGGAATTAGTTTCTGAAGCAGGGTTCAACCTCTTCAAGAGGGCAAGGAGCTATTCACACCACCATGCCTTGGATTCTGGTCTTCAGTAATAAGGAAAATACACGGATAGAGAAACTAGACAGATCCTTATCAACCAATACTTTTTCATTCCCAAACAAAGTACAATTTTCTATATTAAGTTATTAACCACAGTATTCTATCCTGGAAAAAAAAATACCAAAACCACACAACTAAACAGAACCGTATACTGAAGGTTTTAAATGAAGTCTCAAGACTTTGTAACAAAGATACCATCTCAAATAAGGAACCATATCAAACTCCTGTGTAGCCACAGTGCAGCTCTGGCAAATATGCTGACAGTGGAATTTGGCCTGGCTAAACCCACGAGGGCAGAACCTAGCTCTGAGCTGCCATTAGCAAGAACAGCTTGTTCAACCTAAGTTTTAATAAAGGTAGGTAGAAGTAATTTGGTGTCAGGTCACATCTGGAAGTTTGAACAAGATAACTCCTGTATTCCCTCGTGTGAATACATGCACATTTATTTTCCTGTGTTTAAGTTACAATCATTATAATGTTTATTTCAAACTGGCATAAACATACCACTTTTGACTCTCAGTAGCATTACAAAGATTCTCGACTAGTCCAACTGTGCCATTCACACACTGCTCTATCTGAAGGTCATGTTTATTTTTGTTGTGTAGAAAAAATAATTCCCCATCTCCAGAACAAACACTTTATAATTTCCAATAACGCAATGAAACTTACTCTGAAAATATTTTACTGTGTATAATATTCGGAACTACAAGTTTATGTTATTTGTTTAACTCCCTCTCTTTTGCAAAAGAAAAAGTGTATGTTTTTGTGGGTGAATATGTACTGGAAGACAGAAGGTAAGGGAAACAAAAGTAATGTATCTGCTTAATGTTGTGAAAAAAATGTATTTGTATTAAACAAATTACTCAAAGTACTGCAGTATTCTACATATGTCGCCTTGTTACCTAGAGCATCACATGCTGAACATGGATTGGCAAGACCACACTCTTGCAAGAAAGGTGAACAATATATCTCAGTTGCTGACTTAATAGTGATAAACCTGCTAAGATGCAAGGGGCTACTTCTGGGTACCCCACCTTGGCAGAATGCTCAGGAAAATACTTCATAGTACAAAAACACTTGAAAACAGTTACAGTTGCTTAACTTGCAGGCTTTAACTCTATAAAGATGCCTAGAAAACAACTGGTTTTGCATCCACAGAATAATAGACTAGTACTGGGTTTCAACTCCAGGGAGGTAAGAGGATGAAAGCTTCCTAAGGAAGCAGTGCCTTTGTACAAATCACTGCTACAGTGATTTTGGAATGTCCAATACATAAAAGCTTTAAATATGGACTGGACAGATAAATACTTTAAAGCTAATCCCAGCTCAGATTGTCAGCATGGATCCTGTTCCTTTTTGTATTATTTTATACTTTGATTTAGTGAGGTTTTCTCCTTTTTGAAAACCCTAAAGACATTTTTTTAATGAAAAGGAATATTGCACGTTTGCATTATAAAAAAGCTTGTGCATTTTGTGAAGTGTAAAACCAAAGAAAATCTCTTACCTTGACTAAAACAGAATGTTCCAACCAGGGTCCAAATTCAGTTTTCTATAGATCCACCTCCTCCATATCTTTCTGGTAGATGGTCAGCTGGGGAGGGAGTAAGCTAAGTTTCAAAATACTGCAATTCTAGCTGGAATCATATGGGTGGTGATTGGTAAAGAATATATGTTCAAAACACAGAAGTAATGTTCTAACAAATTTCATTCTGCACATCCATGGCTAGCCACTTGTTCCTTTTCTTAAAGCTGCCCTGACTAGCTCACTATGTAAATCCAAATGGATTCACAAATCCCTGCAAGATACAGAAGAAACAGCATAAACAAAGAAGTTACAGTAATAAAGATATATTAATTTCCATTTATTAGCATATGGAAAAGTGTTATATTTAATTAAAAAGTGTGGATGAGATTTTTTTGAGCACTTCATATCTTAGCAATTGGCATCACTCCTTTATCAGTTTTCAAATCAGCATGGTACTGTCTTGGTTAATTGTGTTAACTTGAATAAGAACTGATATTCGTAGGATGCTTCCATTTTTATTTAGCAATATTGTTATTGCTCAATTTATTATTTAGCAATTCTGTTTTTAAAGTAATGCTGTCATTTTTGTCTAATAACTTGATTAGTTTTATTTTTCCTTTGTAACAGGTAACTAGTTACATATTAAACCTTACATTTTAATAAAACTGGACAGTTAAGGCTTAGGGAACTTGATTACAGCACCATTATGCTAAGTGTCTCACCATCAGCTTATTTACAGTTTCATTAGATGAACTCTGCACAGGACCTTGGCAGGTGATCTTAAGACAACAGCTTAAACTGCAGAGCATAAATCACAACACCTCATTAGCAAAGTCTCTGACCTTCATGAAACTTACTTCTTGGAGAAGTCTGGAAATCAACTACAATGAATTTTTGCTCTTGAAAGAGCTAGAATATAGGAAGATAATTTATGCATTGTATCATGCTGAGACTGACCAAACAAGCCAATCTGATATAATTCTGCACTGCAAGCATTTTATTGTCCTTTATTAGAAAACTAAACTGGAAGGTTCCTTAAGCAGAGAACATTTTCTGCTGAGAAAAATCAAAGGTTTTTTGTACTACCCTTTCGTATCTGTCAGGTGTGTAGCAAACCCCCATTTTAAAAACAGTTAAACTCCAATATACATACTTCTGGTCCCAGACTTTGTCCTCACATATGACAGCATCATCACAGAGATGAATAAATGTTACTGCATTGAAAGACAAACGAACAAAAATCATTATACTCTATAAGTATATCCCCTTACAAATGACTTAATTTGTTTCCAATACTGAGGAATTGTAAAGTAATTTACATTTACTGTATACAAGCAGCTTTGAGAATGTCAGCATCTTCTATTTGGCTTTGGGTTTTATTTTTTTTTAAATCGCATTTGCTTTGTTTACATGAAAGAAAAAGAAATCATCATTTCTACTGGACTTCAGCTGGTTCTTTCCAGCTGAGACCATCAATCGGGTATGTTTCACAACTAACAAGTCAGCTGCTACTGAAAGTCTGAATGTAATTGAGCCAGTTCCTTAGAGAAGGTTCCTTACCTCTCCAATGCTGGATGAAGTAAAAGTATAATGTAGTAAGAACATTGTAACAAACTGGAAAGTACACTAAAAAACCCCAAAGTTCTTACATGAAAGTGACTTTATGTGTAAAAAATATTACTTTTTTGTTTGAAATGTTGTATCTTTGAGCCATGGTAATTAATGAAATAATAATCTTAACTATTACAGCTTTTAGTTGAAAACTAAAAAAAACCACAGGAACATTGCAATATAGTACTTGACAAATTAGAATGAAAGATATCTTCCCTAAAATGAATCCATAACCAGAAAAAATGCCCTGTAAATTACAGAGAATATGAACAGAGGATTTAGCATTAAAATCTGAAACCCTTGGCTACAAAAGAACAATTTCAAGGTATTCTCCACAGCAAGTTTGTAAGAACAGAGAACATCACATAATTATTTCCCATTTCCACTGTTACCAGCTTCTACTCTGTAAATTTTAAAGAAACAGAATAACAATTCAGAACTCCTGAAAGCATTAGTCTTTTTTTCCACATGTAGGAAAGAAACTCATTAACATACAACAGTCTAATAGCTGGTTATAAAGCATTATTGGATTATAAAATTAACTGAATGGATTCCGGCAGCTTGTCTTAGTAACACATGTGAGGCAAAAAACTCTCTCTACATCCTCCCACCACCCCCATTCTAGGCCTGTCAGGACAAAAAGCTCTCAGCACAAAAACCATAAATAAATAAATAAATAAATAAATACAATGGCTTTGGGGGTTTTTGTTGTTGTTTTCCCCACTGCCACGTTAATATTCTGCAACAACTCATCTGATAAATTGGTCTTGCATATCATCAGTTTAAGCCTAGATTATTTTAAATTCAAGTATGAATACCTGACAGCTACGTATGATTTTTCTGATAATTCAATGTAAAAAGTTCACATATAGACACTGTTCTTTTTTCATCACTTGTGCAACTTTTAAACAAGGCAGTTTAAAAGCCAGCTAAACAAGCAATGACTATATGGACTTCAAGGAATAAAATTCAAAAACTCAATAAGATCTGATCTATAATCATGTTGTAGTCTGAATGAAAAATATTTTAAAAAGCCTTAATTTCACACATTAAACAGACTTTTATAACATCTTATTACTGAATTGTTTCAAGGAATATAGAACATCTCATTCTTCCTAACTGCATGACAATCTTTTTGAAGCACTCACCAGGATGTCAGCCTAATATACTGTAATTACTGTGACACCTCCCAGTAATCGAGTTATCTGCTCATTTTCCTTCCATATTTTACAGTGTCATGGCAAAGTGACTCAGTGTTTCTACTTGCAATTTCAAACCTCAGACTTTGTATACAAGCAAAACTTCAAAATGAATTTCCAAAAAGTAAAATCTGTCAAAGTTCTGAAACAACCACATACACAAGTTTAGTTCAATCCAATTACTCTGGCTCAGCTTCTACCAGTTTACCACCTCAAGTTTTAGAAATCAAAACAAATTCCACCACACTGCTCAATTTAACAAAGATATAAAAATACCAAAGTCCTGCCATGAACTCCAGCACACTGATCTCTCAAACACAAAGCAGTGATGTGATAGCTGGAGATGTGCCTGGTGTCAGAGGCCAAGACCTCTAGCCAGGTTTAAGACTTGCAGTCCACGTGAAGATCAATTACATTACCCACGCGTACTCCAGGTCTGTTAAAAGTTATTCAGGTTTCTTCTTTAGAATAATTTAAGGAGGACAGCTGTTAGCTCTATATAACCTACACAGATTGGTTTCCTATAACATGAAAGGATAGCACAAGCGTATTTGTAAAGAGGGAAGATTTAACATTCATCAGTAACTCTTGCTGCACAGCTATGGAAATACACACCTGGATGTCTGTAAAAGAACTCTAGGATACTCACATAACTATTTACTATGACAAAGACTTGATTGTTTAGCACACAGAAGTGTACTAGGGATCATGTAATACAAAGATCATCCACCAGAAATAATAATTTCCACATAATTAACAGGCATTTGAGCTGTGACTACTACCATGTGTACAAACAGTTCAGCTGAACTGTAACTTCTGTGCCCAGACAGCCTAATATGCACTGAGATGTCCGACTTAATGCCTACTGTGAAATTATCCCAAATTCTGCCCATGGTTTTCCAGCTTTTAAAGTGATAATCTGCTAAGAACTTTCCTGAAAGACACATTTAAAAACATCTAAAGAGTTGCTTCATAAAGCAAGCCTACTATTGCAAAGTCCTGTGTGGCTTCAATTCAATTCTCAACAAAAGGGTTAGAGAAAAAATATGGACTAAGATATATTTAAAAACAGACTGCAGGGACTTGGATTGGCTTTCATCTGAATTCTACAATACAGATTGCTGAGGACAGTAACTCTTTCAAATTCTCTTGACAAAACATAACCCACTTAGTATCTTATTGAACCATTTCCAGATCTCTATGATCCTGACACAGATTCTCAAAGAAAAGGTACAAAGAGAAGAGTTCCTCATGTTTAACAGATTATTGCAGTTACCACAAAAAGGTAAGGATTTCTGACCACAAAGTATTCCAGTCTGAATCAAGACAGAAAAGGTACTTAGCTAGTCAGGGAATTTCAAGACCTAAACGTACATGATTAAGATTGTAAGTATTTATTTATAGTCAAAAATTTTATCCAGTACTATACAGCTTTACCCAGTAACATTGTTTACTCTTCACTGTAGGTAAACAGATAATAAAAAAGCAAACAAAGCCTTTAGAAATATAGTTAAATTTTATTTTTGTTTCCAGTGAAAATTAAAATAGATTTCTTACAATTCCCTTCACTATTTCAGCTCTTGGATCAGCTGATGCTCATCAGGGCCCACCTCTTCTTCTTCATTCAAATCTTCTTTTGCTTCTGCATCTGTCACCTCAGGGTGACTGCATGCAGCATCCCTAGCAGAGAGCTTTTTCATTTTGATGTTTGGCAGTTTCCTCAGATCACCATCCCATTCTCTTAAAGACAAAAAATAGGTAATGAAAACCATTTACCAATAGAAAGGAAGTAATGGCAGAGTTAATTCACATTTCCTCAGATGATACTAACTCAAGTGAGGCTGCTTTTCTAAGTAATTCTCTGTCCCACTGTGGTATGAATCAGCAACAAAGATTTCACCTGATTTTGTACACTACAGAAGCTGTAATTTCTCTGCGAAGAAATAATATCTGAAATACTTTCAGATGTTTTATTCTGAAACAAAAATATTTGATTCATTTAATTCCCACAGACTTATTGTACCCTCAGTTACTTTTGGCCACCTGCTTTTAGGTTTGTCTCATTCATCTTGCAGTCTGGTAAGCAACAGAAATAAGGTCAGAAGAGTTTCTTCATCTGGATGCTTCGTTTGTATATGTGACATCACATGTACATAAATCCCTGGTCATTTATGGTTAATGTTAACTTGTTGTATGACTGACTTCAAGAGAACATAAAGGGTTAGTAAACATTAATACACATGGTGAGTGTATTATTTCAAAAGGCTGCATGAAGGAGAAGGGGTTGTTTTAAATATAAGTCAAACCCAGTACTCAGTTAATAGAATGCTTTCTTGATTATAGTAAGTGCACTTCATGGATAATTTTTCTCAAGGGCAAAGACAGTTTTTGCCAATTATAAGATATGTTTTTCCTTTACCGAGGCAATACAACAACACTTCTATCTGATGTCCCTGTTTAAGAAGTCAGTTGCATATTTATAAATACAGCAGTCTGTCTTTGGAATTTCTGGCTTTATTTCAACATCCTGTAAATATGACTTGTGGTTACATACCATCCCTGCAAGTCAGTGATATAGCATTCCTTGCAACATAAGCATTCCTGAGTTGTTGGGGTTTTTTCCTCCTTTTAAAGTATTTCACTTGATAGAGCTGTCAGCAAAAATGCTCACCCAATCTACTATCAGGATACACCAACGTGCTGGCCCAAATGAGCCAGCAGCAAGTTTCAAAGCTCTCAGATCTTTTAATTGGATGCAAGCTGTCAATTCATTTAAGATTCTCAGCTAGTATATACACACATACCAACACTACTGCAAACAGCTCAAGTCAGAATTTTAGGTAAAATATTATCTAAGAATATTGAGCAAAAAAGCTACTTAAGTTACAGAAATGGAATTCTAACTGTCGAATCTAAATCTTCTAATGTTCTAATAACTGGCACAGGTGTTCAGCTTGTAACAACTAAGAAATGCCAAAATAGCAGTGCCATACCTACTCTGCTCTTTCAAATGACAAATTCCTTGGCAGTTTTGCATAAGTTCCTTTTTTTTTATGAGAAAAGACATACAACAGGTGAACTTCAGAAACACTATTTTGCATAAGCAGATTATTAGCGATAACAAAAAACCTACCTGAAAAATTTCAGATGCTTTCTGTTCATAATGTCTGGGATTTCTAATAGGAAAGAAATTAAATTCTGTTAGATGTGTTACATTATTCAAGTGAGTCTCATTTCAAATGTCAGCTAAATGGCCTCTAACCAAAATGGCTACATGCCTCCTTTCCATTGCAACCAGACTGTTCTAAAAGAAACCTTCCATACATATATACAAATAATAAAATAAATAATAATAATAATACAAATAAATAAAACAATAATACATATCTGCATCACCTTTGCTAGTAAAAAGGAAGGCAAATATTTTGTATTGAGACCTGTAGAACAGACCATTTTGCTTTTTTCCTTAAGGAGTAGCCAAAATCTTCCTACTAGAGTGTAAATTATAAATTTAGGCAGATTTTGCATAGAATGACAAAGCTGCTTTGCCTCCCTTCTGTGTCATTCTTTTTTTGGTCAGTCCTGCAGAGTTACAAGCAGTCTGTTTTTAACATTACCAATAATTTATGGAGATTTATACCTTAGGAGCCTTGACATCTTCCCACTGTATAAAACACCTCATTACTGTCTAGTAATGTACAGAATTCACAGCCAGCAGGCTTCTCAACAAGACAGATGTTTTCTACCTTTCTAACATTAAATCCACTTTATTTTAGCTCTTAAAATTGTGACATTTCAGCAACTTTTATACTGTCCTTGAAAACAGTTCTACTTTTGTTCACCTATCAATTTCCTCAAGTTTTACAGTAATAAATAAAATCATGCTATCCATGCAGGACTATGGATGATTTTGCTACTACAAAACATGGCATGATGATACCTGTGCCATTTATCTTTGTGGCCAGACAGTCCTTACTATCAGAAGACCATTCCTTCCTTTCATACTTGGCTATGAAGTTACCAACTGAAGAACAATAACATATGTGAAATGTTTTGATAACAATTACAGTGATTTCTGCAGACTGCTCCTCAGTAAACAGATGAGGTGAACTGCTCACAGCTGAGCAAGGCAAGACAAAGAAATATTTACCTAATGCTTTTTTGGTCTGCTGATTCTTTGGTTCCATGCCACAATCCATGCTTAATATCCATGCCACATTAGGTTCATCCTTCCCAACAGAGCTTTGAAACAAAGCCATGGTTGCTCTTGCTTTCTTTGCAGACCCTTGAACTGCACTCATGGCAGCACAGTGCCAAACGCTGCAACACCCCAGCTCCCACAAGGCAAAGTTGTTCTTCCCTTCTCCCAGGTATTTTACAAGGAGCAATCAGTGCTACTCTGTTTGCTCCAGTAGTGCATGTAGTGATGTAAACAGTGAGTTTGGCAGAAGTGGCACCATGCTGAGATTTGTATTTTTCCCTTCGATAAAAGTACTGATTCAACACAGTTTAGTGTTCTTGTCAGACAAACCAGGACTACATGACAAGGCTTTCAAATTAGGCCCTTTCATTTGTTTTCCTTTTTTTGGAAAACATTTAATGGGTTTAAGTTAAGCAGACCTTTTCCAAAGAGAATATTGTAACAGTTTTATCTAGCCTATCATCTAGGGCTCACCAACCTCATGAGAAAACAGGCATTCTGAGAGAAGATTCTGTGACAAATCAAGATTTGGCACAGAATTCATCTTTACTGACTTGGCAGTGGCAAAATTTTTAAGCTATGGTTACATGTGTGTTTACAATATGTTACACAATAAAAACTACTGAGTTGCAAGATTAATAGAGCTGTGTGTAGAAATAAAGTAATTATATACTGCACAGTAACTGATTTTCTAAATTATGCTGGATTAGTAACACTTGTCTAACTCAGCTGCATCTCCTTAGCATGCACCAATGTCATGGTTTTTGCTGCTGCTTGTCAACTGCTTCATTTACTTTAAAATGTTAAGTCATAGGAGCATGTTTTTCTGAACGAAAGACAGAAGAAAATGTAAGAGAGAAATACGGAACAAGAATTAGTGGGAAAGATGTGAAGACAGTATTTTGGGGAATAGTTTATTGTCTGGCATTTCTAAGACAAAGTATTCAACAATTTATGTGTTTAGCAAAACAGCAGTGAAAGACGTAAGTAAACTTTTTTTAATGTTTCTGACCCTTTCAGATAGTTTTCTTTCTTTTGAGGATGAACAAACAGCCTGTTAAAAAGTATGAAACTGTAGATGCTATTTAGGCAAAAAATTATTTGGTTATACGATAATGATCACTACAGAAAACATCAGTTAACGAAGAGTACAGAAGTTACATTAGCAGGTAAGTGGAAATGATACAGCTTTCATCCGAATTAAGTTGATTTCCTTGTAATGTGAAGTCTGCAGAACTAATTAATAAAACTAGTGTATTTAGTTTTAAAAGCCACTTTCTCCCAAGATTAGTATTATGCATCTGACAGAACATGCAAGGTAATTAGAAGTGAATTGTCAAAAATGGATGATGTTCGAATGAAATAATTATGATGCTTTCCACTGAATGCATACTAACTCTGGGTTACAAAGAAATAAATAAGTGTCTAGCATTGTCTTTCAACAGCTTTGCTATAAACATGTAAGACCACATTAAACAGAAAACCCAAATACACAAAAATGAAAACATGAGGAAGAAAACTGCAGCAAAACTAATGTAGGTATATTTTAAGGAGCAAGTGACAAGGAGCTGCTAAACCTCAACAATATCACTGATAATGTTCCCTGTATAGCTACTGTTTCTTTAAAAAAAGACTAAAATTTACTGTATTTTGGGATGTCTACCACTTTTGTAAACAAATCCTTACATTTTGTAAAGGGCTGGTTTTTCCAGCCCTTTTTTGACAGGACAAGAGGAAATGCCCTCAAGCTATACCCAGGGAAGGTTCATGTTGGATGTCAGGACAGATGTTTTTCACTTAAAGGGTGATTAAGCATCAGAATGAGCTGCCCAAGGAAATGATGGAGGAATCAGCAGCCCAGTGTGTTCAAGAAATGACTGGATGTGGCACTTGGTGCTATGGTCTAGTTGACATGGTGGTGTTTGGTCAGAGGTTGGATTTAATGATCTTGGAAGTCTTTTCCAGCCTAATTGATCCTATGATATAAATAGACTGCATCAAATTTTAGTAGACTTCCCTAAAGGAAAAGAATACATATTATGGAGTCTCTTCATAGCAAATGCACATGCATACAAGAAATAACTGACTTTAAGAACAGGAGGGAAAAAAACCCAACAAATCTAAGTCAGTTATAAAAGCTCCACTCACTAAAGCTGCTAGGATTAATAATGAACTAGAGGCATAAAAGCACTGTTTCCAGCTGATTTCCATTTATGCCCAATCTCTAATTACAGTATTTAGTTGCTATAGTACTTAGCAGCAACTATTTTCTCTGAATGAACACTGTCCTAGACAGAGAGCAAAACCTGCAGCAGCTGTGATAACAAATAATGAATTATTTGAAAGCGTATTTAATATGTGAAGTTGCACTGTGCTCTCTGAATGCTTTACTTACTAATTCTATAATAACCTCAAATTTTGCCTACAATATTTCTAGCTTCTTCATTATTTTTATGTTGTGCTTGTGCTTTTGACATCTTTTTCTCTAGTTTTACTGCCTTTTTCTGTCAGCTTTTGCACAAAGCAATAAAAACAAAAAGAACTAAAATTTAAAGCAAAAAACAAAAAGAATACATTCTACAATTAAGCTGATGACAATCACAGAATCAATTTTCCTACGACTTTTTCCCCCTCCTTCTAAGACATCAAAGATGATGCATGAAGTCATATAGATATTCTTAAATTCCTCTGCCGGCTGCACTAGCAAAATTTTAAAGTCATTAATTTTCTTGGTTTGTACAACACATATCAGTGTGTGCTGATTTTGGCCGGGGTAGAGTTAATTTTTTTCACAGTAGTTAGTACAGGGCTTCATTTTAGATTAGGTGGAAATGTTGTTGATGAAAACAGGATGTTTTCATTATTCCTGAGCCGGGCTTGCACAAGTAAGACTCTGCTTCTCACCCCAGCCCACCAGAGAGGAGGCTGAGGGTGCACAAGGAGCTGGGAGGGAACATAGCTGGAACAGCTATGGGACCAGGGAATATGACACACAACCCAAACCTTGCTGTGCTTTGAATCCTAACTACAGAATAATGTAGATTTTTCATGTTTTCCACAATATATTTTACTATTAGAAGGATCAATTATGTGCGGATAATACTTTAACATTAAAGCCAAGTTAACCACTCAGCTTCAACCTGTACATTGTTGATTAAAGCAAAATACAAACACTTCACTGCTTATCTTGACTATCCCCAAGCAACTCTTTGCTTTTTGCACTTTCATTATCTCTTTGTCTTTCTTCCTTATTTCACCAAACTATTGCTGCTTCCCTTCAGCCTAGTTCCAGCCATAAAATTAAGGTCCAACCAGCTGCTGTACAGAATTCAAGGCAGGTGCATTAAAAGCTCACTTTAGTTTGAAAAATAGGTTATATATGCCTGTACTGACAAGACAGTAATAGCAAAAATGCACAAAGAAAGGCAAAAGTAGAATATATGAGTCAGATCTTCACCATCTTTTTTTCTCCTTTTCTTCACCATGGCCCTCCTCCCAAATAACTCTTGCAAGGCACAAGCACCTAGCACTCAGGTAATTTCTTTAAAGAGAAAAATAAGGACAATGCTTAGAAAGTTTGCTTAGATTCTGGCCTTGTGAGCAGGTGTGAGGACCGAATTCTCTCTAATACTTTTACATACCTATTCCATAGCCCTCATAGAGTTGTCTTTCACGTTCTATTGTCTGCTTGATGACAGTTTCCCGTGAACCATGCTGTCTTCCTTGTCTGCCTTTAATACTGTTTTGTAATTCAATCTGCTCCAATTCAGCATTAAATCGACACATATAACTGAAAGAAATAAAATGCATAAAAGCTTGATGCAGTCATACAAAATAACTGCAAAACAGAATTACTCTGATCAATTAGTTTACTAATTGTATTTATTTTCTTTATTTATTGGAGATTCAAGGAGTAAGTAGTATGAAATCTGATTGTTCAGGTGTCACAGAATAACCCAACAAGCAAATTCATATGATGACTACTGTCTAAATCATTTAAAGTCCTCCACACACTACAAAACTAGGGATATACTTCAGTAATTTAAAAAAACCCAAACTACAAAATTACTTATTTGAATAATTCTAGTATGACTATATACATCTCTCAGTATTTGTCACTGGCAATAAAATCAACTACTTGATATTATAATTACCAATATATAAAAGTCCTCCTCTGAGTCATCATCACATTATTTTTAAAGACAAGTCAAGCTTTTTGATCTTGTTTTTAACACCAGTCTTACTTTTCAATTAGTTCACCAGCTTCCTTCTTTGTGTACTCGATTTTACTGGGATCAAGGTGACTTTGAAACCACTGCAGTTTTTCTCCTACAAGAATAAACTTAATATTAATGGTTACACCAGCACTGTAGCATCAATACATATTAAAGTTTCTCAAAGTTTTTTAATGTACCCCCCCCCCGCCCCCCTGTTTTTCAAGATTTTGAATGGCATCACAGACTCTGATACTGTGGGTACCAGGTATGAAGGCAGCTGTAATATAAACATTTCCACATCATTTCAGATTTGTTTTATACCTCCCTTACACAAAAAAAAAAAAAAAAAGATGTTAGGTTTTCTTTTACTGGAAATTAACTAAAATATCACTATATCAATTACTTAGGAAAGAAATTTAGAAAGGAGGAAAAAAAACAAACACAATGGCTGCATAAGAGTTCTGATTGTCACATCTGTTTTTAAACAGATTAAATTGAAAAGCTGCAGGATCAATCATATGGAAGAGAAAAATATTCCAGGTTGTGTCTCAAAGTTTTGAATTTACTTGCTAACACAATGTGTCTTTTAAGCTACATATATCCGTTATAAGCAGTTAGAAAAAGCTTGGAGATGAAATACAATAAATATGTGTACAGATGTACAAAACACTCGCTTACTCTATATTGCTCTGCTGTTGTGTACACTGACTAAAGATGAGGTATGCTCAGCCCCAAATTCAATCCTGTATACATTAAGTGGACAAATCAGGTATTTCAGTATTTCAACCAAGTCTATTTGAAGATTGCAGAATCAGATCATAGAAAAAGAAGCTCTAACTGGACATCTAAAAAGTTGGTAAAACTTAGAATCTCTACTAAGAAACTGAATGCTGTGCTCAGTAATAGAAGTTTCTGCTTACCAATAATACTTAAACGCAAAGCTTTGTCAGTCTTCAACCTAGCAGAGAAAAACCAGATGTGTTAGCCAGGAATGAGTACCATATAAACAATGACCTTAATTTTAGTCTCAAAAAGTTGGGGGTTTTTTCAGTCACAATGAAAGTCAAGGTATAATTTCAAATATAAATATTTGACAAATTCCAAATAATGTAAAACTTTTTCTGTTTCATCCAAAAGATCTACTTTCTGGTAAAACTACTAGCTGAAATGTGTCCAGTTTACCTATTAAGCTAAAAAGTTTATTGGAAGAAAAAAAGACACAACATTTTTCTCAGAGCATGACAAAAGGAATTACACAAAAGAGCTGCATTGTCACAATTTCCTTAAGTATTCCTGATATTCTTCTGGCATGTTTAATGAGTTGGGAGATTTCACTGCACTGCATTCTTGCAAATCAAGCATGCAATGTGAAAAATAACATTCTGTTACCTTAAAACTTGAAATCATTAAAGCCTGTGCTTACTGAACAATAAGTTAGTATGTTAAGAAACCAAAATTAACCACTTCATTCAAGAACTCCCCAACTCTGTCTCACAGTACTTATAAGTCCACTGGAATCTCTGGCAGGATACTCAAAAGCCTTCTGTACACTATGAGATGTGAGTATACAGTTCTATCTGGGATTAATTTTCATCCTAATTAGGAGTTCTCAAAGAAGAGAAGTTCTCTAGCAGGAAATCCTGTGCCTCATACTCTTTTGTCCTGAAGGTGTCAGATTCAATGTGCATCAAAGGATGTTGCAATGTTCCATTGTTTCCAGAAAGGAAAACAAGACATTATTGGGGTAAGTATGAAATTTTTCACTGGAAAAAATATTCTAGCCATGAACATTCAGTGTATATATTCAAGGACCTTTGATAAAATTGACTTCTTCTTATTATTATTCTTATTAAATAGGGAAATTGGTAATGGATTAAGAAATCATAAAGGCTATAACTGACAAAGAATAAATAATGCTAAAATTAATCACAATTCAAAGATATTGTGCTCCTTTATTAAATTCCTTTTACTCTGTAAAATTTAATGAGCATTTTAGAGCTAAATGAAGTAACTCAGAGCACAGAAGTCTGTCACCTACCACAAAAACTGGGATCCAAAGATAAACCCTTACTTTCCGGAGACAAACACACTTGTGTCACTTGTCCACAAACCTAGATTATTAAATAATTATTAGATTTTTCAAGAAGTATTTCATCCTCTGAAGACTCTCTAAAAGCCATGTGCAAGCAAATGCTCAGCATATGTGAGCTGCTAAGAATTCCACTAACATATTAAAGAAATTTTTACTTCTATGGATACCCCAGCATGTGTAGAAGCCTTGAATAAAAGCTGGGCAGGCTTTTATCATCAGAGGACTTACAGCAGGGACCTCTGGATGGCAACAGCATCCAAGAAAAGGACACACACTTCCCTCAGTGGAACTCCACACCAGCAATCCCTGCTGGGAGCCCTGCAAGGCAACACTGCCAGATGAGCCTGTCTGCAAAGATTTGCCACAGAGAAAATGGCATGGCATCTAGGAAAGCTGCCTAAACAGGGTCATTTCACATCTACATTCTAAAACACTACAAACTGCCATTTGCACCTGCTAAGGGCCACTAAGTCATTTATTTATCTAAGCAGCAAAGAACCACCATTTTCTTCTGGACAAAAAACCTTCAGTCTCTTGGTGCACACAACTAATTTCAGTATGAGAAATAATGAATGATAGGCTCGGATGTTGCCTTATTGTACTTTTTATAAAACCCTCACCTCAGTGACTGCTAGAAGACAATAGCATTAGCAGGGAGGCTAATCAAATCAGGTGAGTCAAAGAAACTTCCTCTCCTCTTCTTCCACACAATGAGTAATAGCTTTCGCTCAGGGAAGGGGAGGTAAGGCCAGGGACACAGTCTTGTGGCAGGCTGTTGTTTCTTGATGATTTTCTTTTTCACCCACCTTCCAGAAATCCTCTGCTTAGACACTGATTATTAATAAGAATGATTAGTTGTTTTCTTGATGCTTACTAAGTACTTTAAAGGTAAATTCTACATGTTCCTTCAGCAGCTCCTTCTCTCAGATACTATATTCAACTGTTCTACTCTAAATACTAACAATGAATAAGTATTTTCCAAATCAGATTACCAACTCAGTATTTTTCCCTGATAATATCCACAAATACAAATGCCATCTATGGCTCTGAAAATGAATATAGGCTTTTCAAAATAAATAATTTTAAAAGCTAACAGTTTTTCAATTCCTCATGAAGAATCTGCAAGAGTATGTCATAAAGCATCACTGCCATACACAATGCAAGTAGAAGCACAGTGGGTCAGGAGAGATTAGGAAGTTAAACAGGGGAAGACCTCAGAAAAAGAACACACAGATTTCTACCAGGAGACGTTTTAAGATTGCTTACTCCCCAAGGGTTGCTTCATGCCCCTGTAAAAACTCCTTAGATGTCACATCTCAGAGCACGTCAGTATTAGACTGGCTTATCTGTAATGAAAATGCACTGACTACTAAGAAATGTTTTGTGCATGCACGATAGAAAGGGTCTATTTTGACTCAGGAGGGAAAAAACAGAAAAAAATATAATTCACAGCTAGATTAGCTTTAGCTACCAAAACCAGATAGGTATTTCTGCAGTTGCAGGAAAACATGACTGGTGCTAGTACATCACTACTACAGAAGTTTCATTGATTTCCCACTATGGTCAGGTTTCCTAAAGCGTAGAAAAGTCAGTGTTCTACTACTGCCAGTGAAGCAGCTATTGCTGTCTCATAAAAACATCCGCGTAATCATTTAACAGAGCAAACAAGCTGCCTAAAGGAATAAGAATTCACACGTAAATTAAAAGATAATAAACTGGTAGCAATACACTGGAAGTTCTTGCTGCTCATTAGACCTTGAAGAGAATTGAGGGGAGACGGATGCAGGCAAGAAAAAGGTGTAATTGAAGTGAACAAGATGATTTAAGATTGTAGTCAATTTTCTAAAAGCAATTGGTCTGTCTCCTCTTATTATGCTTAAGATTGGTCTTTTGTAGTGCAGTCACAGTTTCTGGAGAGTAAACTTGTAACTGCTGTCATATTTTGTTATGAATGCTTGTAGTGAAGACTGGACAATGGAGCCCATAAAAGAGTTCTGCGACTTAATGCAGAATTTCTCCCTCATTTTTCCCAGTGCTGCATTTTAAATATTCAAAGTCCTTGTGGATAATGTCTACCCTTTTTTACTATTTCATTTGGGAAAAAGATACTGCAATATGCATCTCGTAACTTAGTGCAATTTTCCTTTCTGTATAACATAAACAGGAACATTCACAGTAGTTATTTCCTTCCCTCTATCCTATAGAAAAGTCAATAAATAGAAGCCTAAACTGTCTCCAGTCCTGAATGCTGTCTCCAGACAAGCAGCAAAGGAAAAAAAAACAACAAAACCCAACCAAACCAAAACATGCAAAACAAAATAAACAAACCACACTAACCCAAAAACATTGACTGATACTTCTATAAAAGATATTCTCACCCTCCAGCAACACACCATTCGAGGGTTTCCTACACCCTACACCTTTGTGTTAAATAGTAATCAACAGATAAAATGTATGTATGTTCAAAAAAGTATTACCACACAAAAAGCATCCTCTGGCAAGGAAATCCACAGCTTAATAAAAATAGAACATATGACCTCTATGGACTTCCAACATTCACTGAATACTCTAATCCAGTTTTACCATTCTGCAGAAATGCCTGTACAAAGATATTATCCCCTTCCCTCACACCTAGTCAGATCACACTGAGAATTCCATTTCTAGTTTTGTGTCCTATTCATACTTCAGACAACTTACTTCTACACAATAACAAGCATGGTCAAAAAAATGCCAGATTTGTGGATGGGACTAAGGAAGAAAATTCTGTAGAGATTACAAGGCAGCTTCTATTTACCACCAAATGATGTACTAACCTTCCACCAGAGAACAGGGCAGTCATTCAATAGAAGCAATTTGGAAAATTGTTTAAAGACATTTAATAGACCTGCAGAAGCAATGCAGAAGAATAAAACTGCTGTGAGCTATTTCTTTTTCCCAAGAGTGTAGGAGTGGAAAGCTTTCCTCCATTCACAGCATCACAAATTTGTCTTGTCTTTTTCAGAGCTACGCAAAATGAATCCAAGCCTCACCATTATATTACAGAAACTGAAAGCTAAGTAATTACAATAAAAAGTTCAACATGTATTTAATTCCCAATATTTAAAAAAAATCCTGAGAATTTACCAAGCTGATAGTTTAGATAGAGATTCAAAAGAAATTGGAACCCTTAACAAGTCTTTTAAAAACACTAAGGGAAAAAAAACCAACATTATTCATATCTTTCAAATTAAATTGCTCCTCAAGCCAAGACTATATAGAGAATAGAACATAGAGAACTGGAGGATGTTTTTAATGCAAGTGATTTGTGGAACACCACAACAAAAGTGATCTATCTACAAAGTACAGAATGTTAGTTAACTGTTCAGGCCCCAGAAGTGTAAGATGTAGAAATCTTATTTATGAGATATAAAGATAGAAAAATTATCCTATATTTTGTATCACAATATGCTGTGGATTGTCAAAACTGGCACACTATTCTTGGTGGAATGGCTTCCCTATGCAAAATGGAAGCTTACATCTTTTACAATCAGCCTAGATTGAAATAGCAAGCATAGGGCTTCTTCAAATACATCAGTGACCAAAGAAAAACTAAGGCTAATGTAGGCATCTTACTGAATTGAGGGGGACCCTGGCAACAGAGGAGAGATGAGGCAAAAATACCCAACACCTTCTTTGCATGGGCCTTCACTGACAAGAGCAGCCCTTAGGAATCTCTGACCAGGGTTAAGGGATGTCAGAAGGGAAGACTTTCCCTTGGCCAAGAAGGATTGGGCTAGAGAGCATCTAGGCAAGCTTGACATCCACAAAGCCATGGGCCCTGAGGGATGCATCCGTGAGTGCCAAGGAAGGTGGCTGACACCATGGCTAAACTGCTCACAATTATCTTTGAAAGCTTGTGGAGATGAGGAGAGGAGCCTGAGGACTGGAAGAAAACAAATGTTGCCCTGGTCTTCCAAGATGGCAAGAAGAAGAACCCAGGGAACTACTGGCCAATCAGCCCCACCTAAATCACGGTAAAGGAAAGAGAGCACCTCATTCTGGAGGCCATCTCTATCCACATGCACAACAAGGAGGTGATCAGGAGCAGTCAGCATGGATTTACTAAAGGTAAGTCATGTTTGACCAACTGATAGCTTTCTATGATGAAACAAAAGGTGAGGGGAAAGCAGTGGATATTGTCTATCAATTTCAGCAGGGCCCTTGAACTTTTTGCTCTTGCAAGAGGAAGAAAAAGTAGCACTCCAAGCAGAAACATCAGCACTGTTGTCCACATCAGTGTAACTCTAACCACACCAGACTGTCAGTAAAAGCTTTGAGTGTGCCATGTCATAATGAATAACCAGTAAGTATTGCTCCCTCACTAAGTTTTCTTGTGCATGTTTTTCTCTAAGGTGAAGTCACGAATGCAAGCACTAAGACTCAAGTAAGATTAAGTAATTTTATGTGATTAAGAGCTGTGAGTGGTTTTTATGACACAAGGTGAGACAGCTAAGGGACAAAGTGGTCAATTTGGTAGTAGGGAAATAATCTGCAATAAAAATATATTATCAACAGTCACAGAGTGCAGAAAAAATATGAAACAGCAGAGAAAACCTCTCGCACATTAAGAAACTGCTCAATCAATACATGCTGCTTGTGAATTCTTGTAGCAGCTCTGCTGGAGGCTACATGACCCCACTGTGGCAGCAAAGGCCCCCCTTCTAGGGAAAGCAACAGTGCAACTGTTGTGCATAAGGTTGTACATCAATCCCAACAATAAAACTGCACAGTCTCTGAACCAGGAGTTTCCAATTTAACGCCTTCAGACAAATGAGTATTTGGGCTCAGCTCACATGGTCCCTCCAGACACTACAATTTATACAGCTTTATATAGTTTATGTAGCGCTATACTATACTTAGATCAAAAGTGCTCTAAGCTAGCTTTAGTAACTTCCTAAATAAACATATTTATGCATAACAACAAGCAAGCTGAAACAATGTAATTTAAAGGCCAGTCTTCACCAGCTGTCTTTTCCCTCTGTGGGAGCTGGAAGTAAAATGAAGTGGCCATGGAACAGCACAAAACCACCAAAGAGGAGTTAACAGTTTTATTCAGAAGTCTGTCTTCTGCAGGAAGGTTTCTAGGTTTTCTTTTCTATTAACTCAGCATTTTAGCAGAAGCAGCTAGACCCTAAGCAGGATTCTTACTGAACTTGAAGTAAAGCCAAACTAGGTGACTCACCTTCATGTGAAATCACCAGCACTGTGCTATTCAGATTATGAAAGGCAAGAAATCTAACTTGTAAAGACAACACCCAAAGTAAAGCAGCAGAACTACACACTTTGTATAACCTAATTTAATGCATGTAAACCTGTCACTTCACATGACCCAGGAGCAGTATTAAGTTATACAGGCCCTTCTGTTTTCTTGTGGTTGTATCAGCATAACAGTCCATGTCCACTACCACAAATAAAAAGTATCATTTGTGATGTTATTCTTTGATCTGTACAGAGGTTTTGCAGTCAACTTACTTTTCTTTCTTTTCCTGTTTGTGTACTTCCCTTGCAAGCTGTGCAGCTTTTCTGCTGTACGGATGGATAACTTTTTTCTCTTGCTTCCCTCCTTGAGGTTTCCGTAACTTTGGCTGAAAAGACATCAAAGATACTATGCACTAACAAGGCTGAGTAAAACATCAAAGGGAAGACAGATGTACACACCACGATAAAGACTGAAAAGGTCATGCACTGATATCTAAGAAGGCCCTTAACTTTCAGTAACACGTGATCAATTCCACCCACTTCAATAACAAAATAACTTGAAGCCAGTACATGCTGTAACAAAACCACTAGAGCACAGGAAATGCTGTAAATCTTACCTAGTGACTACTGTCAGAATACCTACTTCACAGAACTCTGCAGCTAGGAAACTAGTATTAGCTCTCTGTACCTTTGCAGAAAAATGTCCCCATAAAAGCTCCTATCTGGATTTCTGACAAGAGCCTCATGTAATTTGAACAATGTAATAAAAGCGATTTTCTTGCTCCTCCCCAGAGATCACTGGAATGCTTCACACCAGGGGGCAGCCAGAGGCTTTCCTTCTCTACCCCTTCATGCTGCACAGAGAGGGAATACCACTGAGGAATTTCCAAAGCATGGTAATACTACTCTAAGTTATGCTACTTTCTGGTAAGAAAATGTTTGAACAGAACTGAATGGCTTTATGAAATAATGTGCTATTTAACTGCACCCAAAAGAAACACCTTAAAGCAAGGGGGCTTTCCTGCATCACAATAAATGGCAATCAGTAAACGGAGACTATAGTACATCCAATTCTCTGCGATAACATCAGCGCTTAGGGCTGCGAAGAAAAGCTACGGTGTCAAAGACACAACTATTTGAACACCTCGGGAAATCTCAGGCGGCGGCACCTCCCACCTGCTCCAGAGGGGGACCGCGGCCGCCCTGCCGGGAAGGCCCAGAGCGACGCGAACCCCCCGGGAGGAAATGCAGCAGGTTTTATGTGCGAGGTCGGCTCACCGCCGCTATCGGCCCAGAGGGACGCGAACCCCACCGTTCCCCCCCGGGAGGAAATGCAGCAGGTCTTATGTGCGAGGTCGGCTCACCGCCGGTAGCGGCCCACCGGGCCACCGGCCCGCCAGCGGGCTCGCCTCTCCAGGGACGCGGTGGGGCCGCTCTCGGAGGGAATGAAGGGGCCGAGAGCACCGCGTCCCCAGAAGCGCAGAGCCGCACCCGCACCCCTATTCCTGTTCCTATCCCTGTCCCCAGTCCCATTCCCAGCCCCGCACACGCACCATGGCGAGCGAGCCTCCTTCCGGCGCCGCGGTGCAGCAGCCTCAGCGCTCCGGCCGGCGCGGCGGGCGTTCCGCGGCTGCCCCGTTCCGCGACGCCCCGGCACCGCTCGCCCCGAGCGGGCCGGGCCGGGGCTCGGCAGGCCCGGCGTGACGGTAAAGGTGCGGCCACACAGCACGGGGGAGGCCAGGCCCGAATGAGACCTGATCGGGTGCTGGGTAATGTCTTGGCAGCAGCTAAGGTGATTGCTGTGGTAGCTGCAATTAATGGGGCTGCTGCTGGCCGTGAGGCTGAGATATAAGAAAAGTAGAAGTAGTCCAAGAACCTGGTGATCATTAGGATGGAGAAATTCCAGAACTGGAATTCCACAGCTTTGCCTATGCAAAGACGGACCCTTGCTGAGCTGAAGAAAACGGAACAAAGTCAAGAAAAATGTGGCATCCTGTGTGAGGAAACCAGGCTTTCCCTTGGTAAGAGAAAGAAACAACCTCGGGAAAGTCCAAAATCAAAACTTAAAAGTTGCCGGAGAGTGTAGCTCTCAGACTCACAGGCATCACCAAAACAGAAAAAACACCCATTTCTGGCAGCAATGCTCCTGTGACACCTCAAAGCAGATCAGCACCGACACCACGGGCCTGTGGAAAAGCACTTGTGACTGTTCAGCTGCATCTTTAGGTCTTACAACTTCTTGCTCTTCAGATGCTGATAAATCTATTAAATCTGTTGATGTATAAAGAAACATATTAATTCTAAAGATCGTCCCTAAACAGCAAGCCCACAAGTCTTTATTAAATATATATATATATATATATGAGAAGAGTGGGATTATCTAAAGCAAAGTCTTCATTCAGCTTGTATTGGAGCATTAGCTGTTTGTGCTCTTGCAATAAAACTGTTTCATAGGTTTACAGAACTGCTACAGATGGCAGTGACAGTAGCAATTTTGGATTTTAATCTAATAATTTAGGATGGAGCAGTCACAGACAGGAAACTGAGCATGGAATTTTAAATAGTCCATTCAAGTAAATAGATTTAGAGTTATGCTGTCAGACAGCACAGGAATCATAGTAGCAAACTGGGGAATAGCTCTGTTATAATACTGTTCAAATCTGCTTGGGACCAGCAGCTCGCATTTAACCGAGGGATGATGAAGGAAGTCAGGCAATGAGGTAAAATGGCAATGAAAACAATTCGACTATGGGGCCCACTCATGAATACAAATGGAAGATGAAAAAAGTAATTTGTAGATTCTTTCTTCATTTGGATGAACAGCTTGGAGGCTTTAGAGCATGCCATGCGGGGAATGTCAATAGGTATGGTCCTCCCATCAAAATCCAACAGAGAAACTGCTGTGGTCTCCATCTAGCTTTCATTTCACAGAGAAATGCTAGGTGGGAAGCAGATGTACAGCTGGCTTTACTTCTGAGCTGCAGGACATGGAGCTGGAAGGGGGGCAGAAGTTGGAGCTGGAAGGCACCCACAGTAAGTTTTTAATGGGAACTGTAAGAAAGAAACACAGACTCTGTAGACATTTAACTTTAATGGGCAGCTCCGGGAGGCCTTTCAACTGGTCTTCTGCCACTGACTGTAATGAGACCTCTGGGTGATGATGCATTTAATCTGATAACCTAGTTACAAACCAAAGTGTTCCATCTAAATGTGCATTGCTTTCTAGTCTGGTCTTGTTCTTTAAATAGTTTGTAATCTGAAATTTTTTTTTTCATTGCTTTTTAGTGCTTCACTGTCTCCATCTACAAAGGATCTTTTGCAAAAGACAGCTGTGTGGAGTAATTGCTGTGTAAGTTCTCATGTATTTATTCTGTGGGGGAGGCAGTGGATACAGACATGATTCCAAATTTGGCAGGTTAATAGTTGGATCTCGATTTGCATTTTTTGCATTAATTTTACTGGTGCTTTTACAAATGCATTAATTAAAATAAAGGGATATCCGGCTGTGACAGTCTTTCTTACAGTGTTCAGTAAAAAACAATAAAGTAGCAAAATAAAATAGGTTTGCCAAGTACAGTTGAATTCTTTCAACCTTGAACTGATTTGCTGTTAAATTCTAGTTACTATTAAATGTTATGTTAAATATTATAAAGCAGTGACTACAGTATGGTACTTGGATACAGTGGACATACAATTCTAAGAAGGAGGCTCCACTACAATAGCATGTATCAGCTTTTCAGAAATTCTGACATTTACATGTTGTGAATTAGACCAATTGGCATAAGATTTAGACTGATTTCTGAATATTCTTAAAAATCTCATTTACAGTGTTATAACTGCATTAATAAGAATGGAATTTAAAATTGTGTTTAGCTTAGTGGTAATAAAATACAAATTTCCAGAGTTCAAGGGAATCAGCTAAAGGTTAAAGCAATTAACAGCTGCATTTAGAAACAAGAAAAAACAAGTAATGAGCAAGGAAAACTGTATCAGTGAGGGGACAGTGGGCAGTAAATCTCAGGATCTGCCAAAGTCTGAATGCATTTGTAGTAGGGCTTTAGTGGAGAGACACATCTAGGGTTTCTTGAGTATATTACATGTTATCAGTAGACCTAGCAGTATGGTAGTAATAGAAAATTGCAGTTATGCTTGCAGTTGTTTAGTGTATTTATTAAGCTAATATCTCTTAAATAGGTGATTTTTGCATGTGTTATTATCTTAATGAATAAAGGATATAGCTCCCTGGTTCACTTAATGTATATATATTGCAATCTTCATTAATTAATTATATGTTCCTAGGAATTCTAGTCTCTTTCTATATATGCAGAGGTCAGATCTTCTCAGGCAGTGGTGGTATGAAGGAAACTGTGTTGTTTAAATATAAATAAATAGATAGGAATTATAAAGTACTGAAAATGATACATGACCTGTGTTATTTTTAAAACAACCTTTAGGAGAATAATTCAGCTGACAATTGAGCTTATTGTTGTCACAGTTAGGTGACTGCCTGAGCTTCAGCATATCTGCATTCATTGGTTTAAAGACAGACCTTAATATTTGCTGTATCCTCATTTCATAAATAGAATGCCATTTGCTTTTAATTTAGTCAGGCTTATGCTTTGACATTAAGTTCCCGTCAATTCAATGCCACTGTTTATGTCCACAGTTTACAGACTGTGAACATGAGTGGCTGAGGTAATATTTTTATAAATTCAACTGAAATGACTCAAGAGAGTTTTAAGTAAAGCCAAGTTTTAAAACCTGTATTGCAGACTTTCTAGCAATTGTCTGAAATTTTCTTTACATTTCCTATATTCAGTAAATTTGGTTTTACTTATGCCATTGATACTGATGCATTTAATTTTTCTGCTAAGAAACTAAGAAAAGGTGTGATAGAAGTACCTGTTTATATAACTCACTCTTTCCTACATGGTTTACAGTCATTTCTAATCTATATTGCACAAGAAACTACTAAAAACACCTACTATATGCTCCTTTGATTATGTTGCAGATTGCCTATTCCTGCACGTCCTATTTTTTCTAAATGCTTCTACTATTGTATTTCTTTTAATCTCTCCATTCTAATTACACTCAAGCTCTTCCTAATGGATTCCTGCTGCTAATCAGTACATCAGAAGACCACTTAGTCCTTTTGACAGAGCCTCCTTTTATCCATCTCTTTAACCTTTTAAAATGAGAGCTCTGGCTGCTTCATTTGTTTAGATTTTGCACAGGCTCTCTAACTATGCTTCACCTTCTGCAAGTCCTTGGTAACATATGTAGCATACTCTGCAAGTTTCCAGCTTCAAGATATCAACTGTAGAAGTATCTACCTTTAAAACTTTCTAGAGAAAAGAACCAGAAAGGGCCCACAGAGTAGCAATATAACATGCTGTCACTGTATAGCATGGCAGCTTCAGCAAAGAAAAGAAAATCTTTTGTACTAGATCCTTTAGATGCTCTGTTTTGCAGACACCTTTCTGGACCAAATTATTCCAGTCAGGGTGCACGCATGTGTGTCAATACACAAAGATTTTCAACAGCTTCTCTGGAACCCACAGTTTCCTTGGAGCCTGTGGTGTGGCCAGTGGCTTAATGCTCAGATAAAATGATCAAAAGTTTAGTGTAGGGGCAGATATAACTGGGCAACATGCCTGATGTTTAGAGAATGAACTCCTCTGTCTCTGCTTAGACTTCTGTTTGGCCTGTCTGGGCATGTATTTGAAGAAGTCCTCCTTATAACCATTCAAGTATACCCATTTGTGAAGTTTCAACCAAAATTCATTATTTTATTCTTGTGAGACTTTATTGCAACTTTTTTCTTCAATAGTGAATTGAATCTAATCTCTGGTAAATTTATCAGACCCATCCTTGGTATATCAGGATATTTTCACTATACATACACTAAGAATGGAAAAATAAGGATGAAATTCTCCGACAATACAAAGATAATTACTGAGTTAGCCTAAAAAAAATCATAGTACTGTGTGAAACAGAAAAATGTGAAAAGATTGAAATCTCAATGCTTTCATTAAAATTTGAGTGACAGCATATAATTTTTTAATCTATCTGTCTCGTTTGAGTGGTCTCTTTCCTTTTTGTCCTTTTCAATCTTCAGGGCCAATAGCAGTTGAGGCTATTACATGAACATATTGTGTAATATTTTAGATGAGCTGACTCCAGAAATTCAATCTTGCCTGGGATTTCATCAGGTCTCAGGAGGTTTTCCTCAGCTCCTCTAGCAGGCATATTGTGTTGTCAGGTGCCTGTGAGGCTAAATAATTTCTGATTTTGTTGTTCATACTAATTTTTAATTCCTTTTTATTTCAAACTTGGAATAGACTTTCTCATTATTATTAACAACATTTCTCTCTCATGTTGTTAAGATATGTCGCAGTGTTATGCAAACTGTACATGTATTCAACTCTCTGATATTTTCAGTTTAAAAGCATGCAATCCCCATCAATTCTGTAGCAGCATAGCATGTTTCAACTCTCCTACAAAGTTTTTGGGTTTTTTTTCAGTAGATAGTCTGCATACTTCTGAGTTTCAAACTGAGTCTGCAAGTGTGATCTGGGCATAGTCTAGATAAACATGTTCAGGATTACTGCTATATACCTGTATCCGAAACTACATTATCTTAAATTTGGTTTGACTTATTTGGCTGATTGTCTAACTTTCCTCATTAAATAAATGTAACTTCTCCTTGTAAGCCTTCTACAATCTTAATAATTCCGGTCATCTCCTTAGTCCCTTTAATGTTTTCTATTTTTCTACCTGTGATTTCATTAGTGCCTGTTTAAAGGAATTAACCTTTAAGACAAGGAGGAAAATGAGGATGAGCTTGGATTGTTTTCAGCTTTTGGTGTGTGTAATTGGTGGAGTTTGGGTAATTTCATCCTCTGTGAGCTTTAAGAAATCTCTAAAATCACTTGGACTGAGAAGTACCTCAACCCATATTCAATAGTGTGTTTATTCCTTAAAAAAATCATACCCTACTAAATAGTAATATTTGTTTTGACAGAGGAGCCTCAATCATGAAAATGGGGGACTACTAGCTCCTTATTAATATCTAGAAAACAAAAAAAATCATATTATTATTGATTATATTGTAAGAAACACTGGGAGCACAGACTTAACAATTAGTGTGATCTAAATCATTACTGAATGTTATTAGTGTAAAAGCCATCACTGTGTGCCATAGTGACTGCTGTGTAATGAAATTCTGTTGTGTGAAACTGAAACTGTCTCAAGGCAAAGACCTTCAGTGACCTCTGTGGAATTGAATGGCATGGAATCATGGTGATGAAGTCCTGTAAAACTCTGCTTCCGTGTTCAGAGCTGTTCCTGAATAGCTCTGAAGTGGTATAACTGCACCCATCCACCAAAGGCAATTTTCCCACTGGCTATGACCTGGCACAGCAAATGTGATGACATCTTTTGCAAGATGAGTACCGTACTCTTTCGATATTAAGAATTACTTTGGAAAAAAAACAAACCTTCAGTGGACTTAAAATTGTTGTGTATCTTCTGGTATTTAAAACAGGATAAAAAGAAATTATATTTGAGTATAAACACTTTCAAAGTATTACAAGACAGGTGTACTGAATGATATGCCTAATAGGTTATGGACCTGATCTTTGGTATTGTTATTAATCATTAGTTCCCTTCCCTGTGAAATTATGAATCTCAAACCAAAACAAAAAGTTTCTGGAATAAAAAGTAGGAAAACATATTTCTTTACAAAATAAAGGAATTTATTTATAAAAACAATTTTGAAATAATTTAAACTCATTTTAACTCACAGGTCTTTATATTAGCATTACATTCTAGAAAGTCAGACTCTGATGCTTGTCACACAAATCAGGCCTCAGGGTCCTCTTGCTCACTGCTGCAGAGACTTGGAAGCTATTTTGGAGAGACTCTGGAAAAACCATTTTCCCTGCCCCAGAGTCCCTGTTGTAGTACTCATAAGCAATTGTGTCTCCAGCATCTATTTCGTGCCATGGTAAGTAAAAGTTTACTTATTTGGTGGTTTGTTGTTTATTTTTTCTGGCTAAATGGCCTTTTAGGCTGCAAGTTCAGAAGCATTCACATCAGTATTGAATTCCACATTATATCAATTGTAATCTGCATGGCTAGGCCAGGAACCCAGAAGCTCTTGGTTTATCACTGATGGGAGAAAGGCAAAACATTGCAACAGAAAGTCTGTTCCAAAAAGCTCTCCAGACAGACTTTCAGCTTTTATAAGCTGGTGCTTCTGTGTATGGAATAAGATTTAATATTACTTTTCCTTAGGGACAACATTCATTCAAGCCTGTATTTCAAGTTACAGCT